TTTATTTATTGCACTACTATGACAATAATACCTATAATTAAATATTGTAAATCGTAAATATGTTTTATTTGTGTGTGTTCCTTTTATGGCTGTTTGCTAATTGGACTGCTGTTTTGTTAAATTTATTTTCGTTGGCGATACAAAGGCTTCGTTTTATCCTATTTAATTTTGAACTATGTAAACATAGGTTATTTTAAAGACAGGTAAGAAATGTTTGTCGGGTATTATAATTATAATATATTTTGCGTGTAACGCGAGAATCTGTTACCTCGTTAATTACGTCCCGTGAGTAACGCAAGAGGCGGCTGTGAGAAATACCAGAAAGTACGTCGGAAGTTATAACTATAACGCTAATGCCAGATGTTAAATACTCACATTGGCAACAGCTACAGGGCACAGCGTCAAAGGTGCGAGATGTCGATGCGTACGCCGATCCGCCTGAGCTTTAGCAGACCCTTGTCAAAAGCTTAGCGAAAGCGACGTATCGTACATTTACGGTCTAATAAAGAACAAGACAAAAAAACTGACATAATATATGATAATGTCGAATCGGTGGCTAGGTAGGCTCATCATGATTCTATATGTGGTAAAGCCACGCTGCAGCTACGTTATAGAGGAAAGGGTCGGTTCATCATGGATAAAATAGCAGTTTAATGATGCCGTGTTTCGTATTGTGAGTATATATGTAGAGAACCAGGGACCCTTTTTTACTGGAATCGAGGTATTCAGATTAGTGACTTGGGGGTGGGGGATGGCATGTGCATTTTGATTCTTAAGCGAAAACTGATATACTAAAGAACCACAGCATTTGGCTAACCATCAGATGGACTGTGTGCACGTGAGACCCTTATATAATGAAAAAAAAACACCGTAAAGTCATGTAACATAAATTAAAAAATCGTACGTATACACATTGTAACGTTGTTAAGTATATACCCCAACACGCTCTCACAGAATAGCACAGCTTATTAGCAGCTTAATGCTGGTATGTTTCGTATAGTGTGTGTAGAGAACCTTTTGGTCCCCAGGGGTGACAGCCCATCTGCATTTTGTTTCTTAATCGAAGATAGATGTCTATGGGCGGCAGCATCCATTTACCATCACGTGACTAACCTGTGTGTGTGTGCGTTTGTAGCCTTTATTCCACAGTTTAAAGAGCTTTAAATTGTGCTTATTGTTTAAAAAAAGAAAATTATTAAATGCTAATTAAATACCTACATAATTTATTAATATTATCTCTATTTCTCACTACTATCTTGTAGTCTTTTCAATCGTGCAGCGACACAATTATAATCACTTTGTTGCGTACGATAATTTATTTTTTAGTTGGCAACACGTGACCGTTTATAAAAGCTCGTTTATTGCCATTCGTCGACAAATGGATGATACATTTTTTTTAATATTAGTAATCCTATTAATTAACATTACTAATATTCCTTTAACCACTCCTGGTAAGCTTAAAACGCTTGTGTTAGGAGTGATTCACGACAGTAGTCGAATGGCGGATTTGAACCCACGACCTTTTGAGTTCGCGGTCTGAGCCCTGCCATTAGGCTACTGTCGCTTTTTATTTACATTATCGGTTCTTTCGATTTTTAAGTTATATATAACTCGCTACCGCTTATTGATTTTTTTTTGTGATGAAATTTAGTCAACATTTCTAGATTTTATTTAATACATAATTTATGGTAAATACCTTATATTATATTGAGAGTTGGATTCTTGAACGTAAGACTTTGACCATACCACACAATATTATGTTAATTGATGCTTCAATGACAAAATTAATGATAGGACACATACCAAATAATTGGATAGAGACTGCCTAGTTTGTATAGTGGTTGTGGTCAAGGGTTCGAATATCAGGTCAATCCAAAATCAGACATGGAATTTTAGTGTCTAGAAATTCTCAGTAGCAGCCCAAAGTAGAAGGAAGGAAGGTGGCGTTTATTCACCTCTGTGTCACGGAAAGCACTTAAAGCTCTTAGTCCCGCCGCTGATTGCAATTTTTTGTAACCGTGATTTATTATTACTGTCACCTGCTGTCACCCACGATGCGCTCACTGAATCTGTTCTTGGGTAACAAATCGCGTTCATTTTTGTAATGGCCTTCAACGAGGTTGCCGTGATTTGTGCTCTTGAAATACGTAGAAGAAAAATGAAACGGAAAAAACGCTACTGGGTGCATCCTATATAGACGGAAAGATTATTTAAAGGAAAATTCTACACTATATATTCTGAATTACGTCAGTATCCACCAAAATTTTTTAATTATCTTCGTATGTATATAAACTCTTTTGATGAGTTGGTGGCTTTGCAAAGCTATTCCAGCAGAAGAAAGGTTAACGGTAACTTTGAGGTAACAAAAACTACATCAACTACTTAATTAAACAAAAAAATCTTTATTAATCAGAGGCATAAAAAATTGCAATTTCACCATCATCTACAGAGTAATTCCATACATATATTAATACTATTTAACAAATACTTTAAATAGCATACGTCTACTCCGAACGCGCGGCGCCGGCCGAGTAACAAAAAGTCACCAGTGAGCGGACTCCCATAGTAATGCACAGGGCGAGTGACAGTCACGTCACTCCGGTGTTGCCTGCCGCTGCAACTATTTGTCACCGTATTATCACGTCACCATAATGAGCGCACTCAATATAGTTTTCATTGACTTCATTGACACTTGACTAAGTGACAAAAAGTCACGTCGACAAAAAATTGCAATCAGCGGCGGGCCTTAGTCCTGTGTTTGCTTGTTGCTGGTTTTTCTTCGGTCGTGACGAACTTTTTTACCCAAAATACATTTTATTACATCCTTTAATGTAATGCTTTTAGATATTCACATTTAAACTTTCGTAATGTAAAAGTGTAAAAAAAGATACGTCGTTAATACATACGTTTTATTGGCGTCGATTAACACTCGCATTTCGAAGTAGTCGGAAGACATACAAGATAAGGGAAAAAAGTTAACGTTACAGCCTATATACGTCCCACTGCTGGGCACAGGCCTCTCATTTCCGAAAGGGTTTTAGGGAAAAGAAATGTGGGCCCGCCGTCCAAATGCGTGTTGGCTAACTTCACATGTCTTCGGAATATTTTTTTTCTTATTTCTCAGACATGCAGGTTGCCTCACGATGTTTTCCTTCACCGCCGAGCACGTGGTAAAAAGTAAGGGAAACAAATAAAAATAAATCTGAGCAAGAAATCTACTTTAGTTAATCTACGAGCTATGGAGCCCTGTCCATCTCTGAGTTTCTCTGCGTGATAGGCTCAGAAATGAAAATATCTGCAGTAAAACCAGAGTGACCGACGTAGCCCAAAGGATAGTAAGCTGAAGTGGCAATGGGCCGGCCATATAGCTCGAGGAACCGATAACTGATGGGGAAGAAAGGTTCTCGAGTGGCAGCCTCGTACCGGTAGGCGTAGTGTAGAGCGACCCCCCACTAGATGGAGTGACGACCTGGTAAGACATGCAGGCAGTCGGTGGATGCAGGTGGCTCAGGACCGTGCTTGGTGGCATTACTTGGGGGAGGCCTATGTTCAGCAGTGGACTTGTGAAGGGCTGTAATGATGATATATATATATATATATATATATATATATATATATATATATGGACTTATATTTATATGGGCATATCACCTATAAATGAAGATGACGCATATAAAAATATGCGCGCTATTGTTTGAAAATGATTCAGTCGAATTACTAGATAAATAGATTGTGTTTTATAATAATGTTTACCCATAAATAACTTTCTAACGTCTTCGAATGCCTATGGCGCGGATAATTTTGTAAGACATTATGAAAGTCGAGTTATACTAACATCGAAAAGGGTAGCGACAACTTTCTACGCAGCTTCTTTCGTTCAAGTTGTTCCCACGCAATTGTTCGCCTATCGCCATAGATTACGTAAAGATAATGTGAAGCAAACATTGCAACGATTTCATAATTAAAGGGATGAGAGAGTGAGATTAAATGGATGATCTATTTGTCTTTCAGATACGCTTTTTGGAAAAAGATATTATTGCATCAAAAATGAGGCTATAAGCAGGCCTTAAGACAGATCTCTCCCGATTTCAGCACGATTTTTCTTGCGTTTAGGATTTCATTAAATCAAGGATCACGCGTGCCCTTTTAACTTGTAATGCCAAATTGTTATCCGTTCTTCAACGGATATTTAAAGCAAAATTACAACAAAATCGGTGCAGTAGTAATGTACGAGAAGCTCGTACGAATAAACAGAACTACGGATTGACGGACCAAGTTTTCAAAAAATACTGTTTTGTCATAAGTGCCGTTGCTTCTCGTAGCTGTTAATTTTATAAAAAACATTTAAATCTTTTTGCTAGATGTTTTAATTAACTGTCTTGATTAGGTACTACGTAGTGCGAGGTCTCCTAAGGGACCTTGGAATTGCTAGTGGTTATGACAAAAATACATAATGATTTTTTTAAATGGGATAAAGGTGACGAACGAACACAGTCCACATGATGGTAAGTTGTTACTGTGGCCCGTAAACATACATCTTTCTTCGATTACGAATCAAAATGCCGACGCGTTGTCACCCGTGAGGACTAAGATGGAATGCCTCGTTTCCAATCCTATACCTTTAAACGATCAATTCTTGTGTATATATATATATATATATATATATATATATATATATATATATATATATATATATATATATATATGTGAGGCTATCAGCGCAAAAGCGGTGTAACCCTCGACAGTGCACATAGGAGAAATGGAAGGATTTAAAATTTGCAAAAACATTTTTATTTTTTTTTTAATGTTTTATTTTTTATTTATAAAAAGAACTTCCAAATCGACAATAGTTGTTTACTTTTATAAAATTTAAACTAATAATAAAGAAAAATATGTGGGTTACTCCACTTCTGCATTTATGTTATTTGGGTCAAAATCAAAATAATAGACAGGTTACACCATTTCAGAGCACGTTTATTAAAGAAAACAATAATAATGGGTTAATCTTCATCTGTTTCATTATAATAAGCTTCATCCTGGACACTGTTGGAACTTTTTAGTGTTTTATAAAAAGTGTGATGAACTGGTGGGACGAACTGCAAAAGTTCATGAAGGTCTTTTTTCTTTTTTTCAGCAATAATTGGTTTTTCCAATGTAGATGATCTAGTTGTGTTAAGGCCACCGACTGCCTTTTTTACACTGACTTCATCAAATAGTGCTTCCTCATTGTTGGAATACTTGTAAAAAATTGAAAAAAGGTGGACTTTATGGAATTTTAGTCATTGAATTTTTATCCACTCCACCTTGGTGCTGCTCACTGAAATTTTTCTGTTGGTTATATTTTTTTCTAGGGATTTACTTGATAGAAAATCAGTTGCTGTCATTCTTATTATCTTGAACGGTTGCCTTTTTTCGTGCAGTTTTAATTATTTCAAGCCAGTTTTCCGGTGCGTAAATTTCTTTAAAGAATTTTTTATTTTTTTTCTATGAGACCAAAATCTTGGTCGCATGGCAAATAAGAATGCCCACTGACTAAAAATTTATGGTCTATTTCTTCAATAGTAAAATCCGGGTGAGATATAATATACTGACAGAACAATGACAATTTTATGTTTCTATTCTGCCCACCACATTGGTCAGAATACATGACAACTTTTTTAGTTTTCACATAATGTTTAAAAAAATAAAGCAGACAAGAACCAATTTCTTGTGGTCCTCGCGAGGCATCAGACTCATCCCAAACAAACATGTAGGCATCATCTGTCCCCATGTTGTGAATACCAAAACAAAAAGTCCAAAGTTGCCTCTTGTAATACACTATTCCGGTCGTCAACACAGGCGTAGGTAGGGTTTTCATTAAATCAAAGGTAATAACAGTAATATCAGTAGATGATTTTGCCAAAGCCGTATCATCTTGTAGCCCTTGTCTGGCACTGTCTGCTTTCCTCTGATGTAATTCTTGTTCACGTTGTAACTCTTGTTTTAGAGGTTCACTCTCAGCGCATTTAATTTTGTTACAGAAAAGGTCACATTTTTTACAAGAATCACTGATGGATGCATGGAAACGTAGGTTAACATTCGTTAAAAATTTTACTGAACATGAAAGCTGATAAAGGTCAAGTACATTTTCTTTATAGAGAGAATACATTTTTCCAAGGCTTAGATCTGGTGATAGAAATCTTCTATTCTCACTTTTATGTCTAGTGTAATGAGACTCATAGGCAGGAAACTTGCCAATGAATTCTTTTAATTCTGCTATCTTATTATCTGGTGTTCTGTCTCTGATCAATAGGTGGGACATTGTGAATACTTTTGCGCTTCATTACCCTAGTTACACGTCCGTCAGAAACTTAAAAAATTCTCAGGAAAAACTTTTTACATACCAGAACTTCAACACCATCATAATTCAGTAAATGATAGATATGTGTTTTATGTCTTCTTGAGTCCTCTCTTCCTGTGTAGCTTCTGCATTTATTGGTCACTCTAACTAACGAGAACAGTAATGCATTTTGAATGTCAAAATTTGCTAATGCATAAAAGCTTCGGAATATTTCCAGTTGACTGTCTTCATTTATCTTCAGATGACATTTTTTAGGACATAGACATTCCCCTATTTTGGCTGTCTTCGCAGGAATAACGTTCTTTTTGTGATTTTCATATTGTTCGCCTTTTGCTCGTTTTAACTTAAGCACATTTCGCTGCCAAGTCTCAGGCCTTTTTACACGCTTTCTGCTTTTGAGGACAGGGGTTTCATTGGTAGTTTCAGCTGATCCCTGTTCAGACAAGCTTAATTGAAGCTCTGCTGTTGATGTGCTTGGCATGGGCTGTGGTAAAGTTGTTGTGGCTGAATTAATACTGCATTGCTGGACTTCTTTCGAGTCGTCGTCATTGCCTGATGAGGGCGTAGGTGATGGGAGATATTCGGAACCAGAATCTTCAAAGTCCAGGTCTCCAACTGTAACCAACATGACTAGGTTAACAATATAAAAAATACATAACGGTTATGTACCCCAGTATTCAACATCTTTAAAATTTGCAGTAAATCAGACACTATTTTAACTTACCTGAAGTAATATCATCTTCTTCGTTCATAGTTAGTTGCAAAAATATTGTTATTCAGTACGTATAATTGGATATTTTGGAATATAAATAAATTTCAACTAAATTCAGTATAGTTTCTCTCAATTTTACCGTTTTGACAGCTGAGACTGACGACTAACGTTATATTACGGATTCGACGTAAGCCACAAACATACCTGTGTTGCTATAGTGCAAAAGTGGTGTGCTGAATACACCAGTTTTGCTCTTTTAGTCTGCTACATTACGTTCCGTGCAAAAACTATGTTTTAGCGCCATCTATTTTTGGATAGCAAAAGGTGGCTTACTCCACTATTGTATTTAAAGTTGATAATGTACGGAATGTAGTTTACACCAAAACCGCAACCAGCAAAAATTGTGGCTTACACCACTTTTGCGCTGATAGCCTCATATATATATATATATATATATATATATATATATATATATATATATATATATATATATATATATAGGAATAAGTTCAGTTCAGGTTTTTCTATTATGTCAATAAGATCAAAAAATATTATTCATCAGTATGTAATTTGTATCTAAATGTAATTTAAAAAAAAACGGTCATCCGGGTACTAAAGGTAATAAGGACATATTATTATGACAAATTTCGCAGACTGGCGTAGCGGCGAAGGGGCTTCTAAAATTTCTTTGGTTACAAATTGTTACATAGATTTCTCAAATCATGGTTTAAACGTGAGATTCTTAATAAACAACGTTGCATAAGGAATGCGTCGATGGTAAAAGCAATAGTGATTTTTCCTGAGTTCACTACAATAACAACAAATAAATAAGAAGTACAGTCACATGGACAATGAGAATGTTTAAATTTAATATGTTAAGTCGTTTAGCATAAGGAGATCATAAAAGTTTAATGATAAGTATAAAATATTGGTAGATATCTTAAACTTGATAGATCATGAACATTTCGCAGAACGTAAATATGTATAAAGGAACTTTGTTTTGTCATGCACAATTACTTACTCGTAATTTATAGGATTTGTTATATTACGAATGTTAAGTTTAAGTAAATTATAAAAAAATCTAAATAGTGATGTTAAGATTTTTTTTCAATGATTTTGCACGGTTCTACTACGTTCATAATGAGGTTTCTCTGGTCGTAGATGAATCGGCAAAAAAAACTGACTTTTTTATAATATCAAATGTTAACAAGTAAATCCGAATACGAATTGAAATTAGTTATTATTTATTGTGTCGTCATCATCATCATCACAGCATAAAGTCCACTGCTGAACTTAGGTCTCCCGCATCGATTACTATACTGGGAAAGGACGCACGGGTTGGCAACCGATGTTTTTTTATTATTTTGAGCTGCTATGGAAAAGATGCTGCTATTTAAATAAAGCTAGTTCTCACGGTTTTTATCGTGTATATTAACTTATTTATATTCCCGACGTTTCGAGTACTTTACAGCACCCATGGGTCACGGGGGGACTGTGGTATACAACGTCCACATGTCATGGTTAACCGCGGTTACCCACAGATTAAAATTATTGTTATATACCTACGCGATAAAATAACGTAAGAATAGTTTTATTTAAATGTGTAGTGTTCACGTAAATTAAATCAAGATGCTGTTACTCATCTCCTGTATCATTTTGTTTAAGTGTACGTAATATAGGATAATTTCATATGTAAATAATAATATATGTAAGAAGTTCCGTAAACATAAAGACAATTTTAAACGCAAGTAGTAGCGTTTTTTATTGGTCTCCCACACTCGGCCATGACAATATTATATTCGCTATCAGCGTTCCTATTTAACATATAAATAAATCCAATAAAATCGCACATTTATACGCACAAATATACATTATTCATGTGTAATTTTTATAATAAATTCATTAATTTAAAACCTTGAAATGATTACAATGTGTTTCTAAATCCGATAAAACGCTATTTTTTGCCTATTAATGACTTAAAATTCCTTGATTTTTTTGTTATTTTCCCTCTTGAAAATACCTGTTAAATATGCATGTGTTTCATTTTGTTAAAAGTTATACTTAATAATATAATCAGTGACAAGTTAAGTAACAGCAAAAGTCTAGTTTGAAGTAATATGGGGGGGGAATTCCAGCGATGGTGATACTGTGTGTTCTTGATGAGTGTAGAGATCAGGAGAACCTTTTTTTTACTGGAAACGAGGCATTCCATCTTAGTGACAACGCTAAGTTTTGATTCTCAATCGAGTAAATGTCTATGGGCCACATCATCCAGTTACCATTAGGTGAACTGTGTACTCGTTTGTCACCCTTATTCTATAAAATAATGAAAATTAACAAAAAAATTGTATAACTTGCTTTATGTCGGTGGTTAACGCTAAACGCTTTTGTATCTGGACTTCCATTTTATTATTTTCTAGCAATAGGTACTATATATCTATACTATCTATTTTTTTTTATAGAAGAAGGGGCAAACGAGCATGTGGCTCACCTGATGTTAAGTGACTACCGCCGCCCATGATCAACCGCAACACCAGGAGAATTGCGGGTGCGTTGCCGGCCCTTTACAAAGGAGTAAGCTCTTTTCTTGAAGGTCCCCAGGTCGTAGCGGCCCGGAAAAATCGCCGGTGGGAAACTATTCCACAGAGAGGTTGTACGTGGAAAAAAACTCCTTGTGAAACGTACAGTGGTGGACCGCCAAGCATCCAGATGGTGTGGATGGTATCGGGACGTTTGACGTGTAGTGCGTTCGCGAAATTTGGCGGCTGGGATTAATCCGAACAATTCCTCAGAGCACTCCCCGTGATAAATGCGATAAAATACGCAAAGAGATAGTTATGATATCACAGCATATATACTTATAACAACATGTAAACATAATTAACGCACTTTGAGAAAGTAGTTTGTTCAGAATCGTTTACTGAATCGATTCCTATAATTTTTAATATAGTTAATTTTTTATCCCAAAAAATAATTAACTACGTAAATTACAGTCACACTAAATCTGTACAGTCAAAACAAACTGAAATTGACCGTAACTTAAGGCAATAAGACTTTTAAGAGTGCATTTTTATTTGTATTATTACTAATTCTGTCATTCAATAAAAATAAAGAAAAATGAACTTTATTTCAAGCACGTTAAAGTCTTTGCGTTCGTGGATTTGTACTGTGACCACAACATTCTTCCGGAATTAGTATAACTAATTTGATAAAAAATCAGTGCATAAAAATGTTTAACTAAAAATTCAGTGTATGTATTATGATTATAACATAATATACTAATTGGGGTGTCTGAGGGTGTGCGTTAATTACGTTACATATTGTATAAGCTGTGATATTATAACTAAGCGCACTTTCTTGTTTGGTCTGTCTGTCTGTGTGTGGTTCCGGGTGGAATCTTGCAACTCAAGTTTCGAGCACTTCCCGATTAGCTAGAGACTTGGAATTTTGAAGATAGCTCATAATCTTCAAAATTTTCAAAAATGGGGAAGTTATTGGTTCCACCCCGATTTTCGAAAATCGAGTTTTTTGAGATTCCAGCTATTCTGACGAAAAACTTTTTTTGGTATAACTTTTAAACGGCTTTACCGATCGATTTCAAAAACTAATCAGCTATTATTTGTGGTTAACAAGAAATGACGTCGAATGCCGTTTGGAAAATAAGAATCGGTTCATTCATTCGTTAGATATCGAAGGAGAAAACAAAGTTATTTTAAAAAAAAAACGTTTTTTTTAAAATAGCTTCGAGATTTCGCAACATAATTTGGTGAAATTTGGAGCGCTTTGTATTTGAAATTAGCTGGAAGTTCCAGGGATGGCCTGGAGGGTCAACCAATTTTTTTTGGTACAAAATTAAATAAAATCACTTGGTTAATCTTTAGATCTTATCTGTTTCGTTCGTTGGCGATATAACTGTCTCTTTGTGCCAGATGTAAAATACCCATGCTGGCCATGGGAAGCAACGTTAAAGGTGCTTACGTCTCGTACTGCGATTGTCAAATCCACCTGTCAATCAATTTATAATCAATTGATGATGAGGCCAATACTACAACGGGAAATGCCCATGCATTATTACGCTCTAATAAAGACCAAGTACGACTATATGCTGGTAAATGTCATATCAAATGTGTCATTAAAAAAACTTGCGTTATTTGACATTTCGTATCGATGTACGTTGGCTACAGCAGCACAAGCCGCGGCTGCCAGCGTAACTGGCGAGTGATTGTCGTCGGACATTCGGAACAGCAATTAACCCGTATTGTGTCTAATGTCACACGATCGCGTCCGGGTTGGCACCAAAACGATGCTCTTATAACCTTTAATTCGAACTACTTTTTGTACCGCCTGATGCATCCATCTATATATTGAATAGCGAACTGCGTGATGGCGGTATAGGGGAATCCCGTAGTTTATCCCGTGGGTGGACTTAGTCAAATGCTCCATGATAATAGATGTTATATAATATCTCGGATAAATAGTACCCGGATGACCGAGCTTTGCTCGGTTTTCTTCAGTTACATTTATATACAAATTACATGAATAATAGTTTTTAATCTTATTGACATAATAGTTATACATAAATTAGTTTAATTAAAATTTTCGTATCTTTAAAAAATACTAAAAAGGGGCTCGAAATAATAGATTTTCTCACAAAAGAAGGGAACTTGAAAAAAAAAGGAAAAAAAGTCGGACCCAAGACGGGACGCGAACCACGGAACTCCGATATCACGCCCGAACAACATCCCATCTGAGCTATTACGATCGTTGGTAACCTGTCAAAATTTACCTTCTTATATTGTAGCAGTTTTTTTATTGCCTGAAAACACGGACAAAAGGACATTTTCTAAAAATAAATCCTAGCTAGATCGATTTATTGCCCCCGAAACTCCCTGGACACTAAATTTTATGAAAATCGTTGGAGCCGTTTCCGAGATCCCGATTATATATATATATATATATATATATATATATATATATATATATATACAAGAATTGCTCGTTTAAAGGTATAGGATATAGAAAGTGAACTAACGGCCTCTA